CACTAACCTCCTTCCGTATGATAAAGCGATAACGATCGAGTGCTTTTCGGGGAAAGTGGACTCGTAAGCATTTATCTGGAGCGTAGTCGGCATTACGATCAAAAGGCTTCAACGGATGCGAAACTCTTGCCGGTGGAGTTTTACTATATACATCTTGCAAAAAAACTTCCACGTATTTCTCTTACCTTCGTTGTGTTTGATGGCGCATTCTTGAAGTGCAGGAATTTGAATTTGAATGGCTCGACCTTGACGTTCTTGAATGGGAGGGGAAGGGGGGGGGGGGGGGGGCGAACATGTGAACGCTTGGTGGATCATGCAAGCGATTTAACATAATAAGCAGACCGGGGAGTGGGTGGGGAACCTACCGTCACGCTTGGTGTATGGCGGTGGTTGTCAAATTTATGCCGTCTCTAGCGCTTCTCCGCGGCAGTTCTTTGAAATGAAGTGTGTGGGGGCAGGCATGTTTTGCACGCGTTAGCTATTTCTTGTTTCTTTCCTGTTTGTTTTTGTTGTGTGTGTTGTGAGTTTGTTTTGGGGGTATGATTGCATGCCGCGATGCGGTGCACATGTTGCGCCGTTTTTAATTTGAAGTAACGTAAAAATAATAAAAAGGAAGGGGCTGCGATACTTTTAAACCCTGCAGACGACGACACTAAACTTCCAAATAAAATAAAAAAAAGCATTTGAGAAAGTTGACAGAAACTCTGTTTATCATGGTTATGTTTTTTTTTTTTTTCTTGCAAGTGAAGTGTGTGTATGCGCAACAAACTAGACAGTCATTTATATTTATTTCCAGAAGAGCATACGTTCCTCGTGTTATTTTTTATTCTTTCACTTTCATTTATGTAGAACACTAAAAAGCTCATACCACGAGCTTGACGTTTGATTTGCGCCCACTCTCGCATAAATGGGGCACACGATGGAACCACGCGCTCGCGCCAATTTCGCGAGAGTATAGTTGTGAGCCTCCATGTCTTTGCTCGTGTAAACAAGCCCGTGCAATTTCAAGCTTGGCAAAGCTATGATCACGCGCAAGCTGCACGTGCTTCCACTCATGGGGTACCAGTCGAGGCGCCATGCTTGACATTTAAAGTATACTCTATCTTGGTGAAAACATGTTCAGTCGACGTCGGAGAAATGTTATTTTAAAATACGAACTGATAGTTCAGTTTTGTGAACCACGGTTTTAGAGCAGGATATTGTGAGTACAACTATAAACAGACGCATATTAGACGTTAGATGTTTAGACAGTGTGAGTTTAGTCTGCCAGAGTATGAAGACACTATTGGCGACGTGCGCGACCGAAAGCGTCGCTGTGGTCGGCCTTCCACGATTGGCCCAAAAGCTGACTATGACGTCGGAAAGGGTATACCAGCGACGGAAATAAGAGGAATGAAAGAACTTTAATTTCGACGGTGTTGGCAGTGTTGCTTTGAGAGCGCAATGATTTCAGGCTTCCACCATGCTATTTACAAACACCATCGAACTTGTTGTCCGCAAGGTAATGACGTCACTAGGGGGAACGATAGGAGGGCGCCAATAAAACATCTCGCCGCTAATACTCTATTTCACCTATATGATGTACCGCAGAAAAGTCTACAAGCGCGAGCTCCTTGCTCTGGGGCACATCTCGGCGGCACAAGCTCTCGTGCATTAAATGCAGGTGCCAACGCTATAAGCTCGCGCTTCTAGTCTTCGCTGGGGGTGAAACGGAGTATAGCTATTGCACGCCGTAGAATCGAGATTTAACCAGTGCGGTACGACTGCTAGCCCGTAGTTTTTAACGTGCATCAGGCAGTATAGGCCTCCTGCGTTGCCCAGGGGGTGCTGCGAAAAGGGACTTGTTAGGACTTGTTTTGGGTAGTACAAATTTTAGCGTCTCAAACTGTCACGCATGCAGAAGCGTGCCTGCTCTGGTGCGGAGCGCGAGATCGCGATGAAAATACAAAAAAACAACAAAAATTCGAACGCCGACAAAGCTAAAACACTAAGAGCGTGAGCCAAGAGATGCCGTTTCACGCGTTCCAAAGTAGACATGAAAATGTAAACAAAATGAAAGCGTCTCGACACAGGTGTTCTGACGTCACCACCCAGATATAAGAGACGCGTGCCCTAGCGGTGGTGTCATGAATTTGGCACTTTCGATTGTCTTGCAACGTTGAGTCAGGCCCATTTCTGGCGTCCAAAGGTGTTTTTTCGTTCTTCAGCACCACACGAAATTAAAAAAAAAGATTAACCAACGTTCCATAAGTAGTGCGAGGCTCAATCAGGTGAGGTTGTACTACCCAAAATGAGGGCGCTACAGCTGTTCAAAGCTTCAGCGCAGGAGGCCTATAGGGATACATTACCGCACACCGGGACAATGCCCATCCAGACCGAAACGGGCACGGGCGAGGGTCGAGCCCAAGAGCCCTGGGTTCTTCAGCGCACATTTTTAAATCCGGGTGCTCCCAGCTGCGTTGCGTCAACGCACGCGACCACCGATCTTTCTGTATACCCGCGTGCGAGTAAAGTCAACGCCAACGACACGAAGATTTCGTTGACTGTTTCGCTGTAAAACTCGGCGATGATGTGCTCGTGCCACATTCTGTTGCAGGTCACAAAAAGCAGAGCGGCCATTCACCTCCTCTCTTGCCTGCTATCCAGCGTTAGCTCTGTTAAAGTGGAAAGAGTAGATGGCGTTGCGAGGAGGAAGCTCTTCTGATTTTCTTATTAACCTGCAACACAGGATAACACTGTAGCGAAGTGTCAAAAGAACAAAACAAAAAAAAAGAAAAGGAAGAGAGAGAAAACTGGTGACACTCTACAGGTGATGATTGCGGAGACAAGAGCAGGCGGCCAGAAGCACCTGTTTGCTTTCACCCGCACTTTGCGCGCGGTCTTTGAAAATTGCGCTCCGCGGAGCGTGAAAGTGTCATTTCCGGCTCGGAGCGAATTTGTCGGCCCCTCCACGCGTCAACCGCGTGGCTTAGAAAGACACCTTTTCGAGTGAAAGGAAGTATATATAAAGGAAAGTTGCTTTCCGCGTATTTCGGTATAATGGTTCCCCGAACTGACGGTCGTATTCCTGTCATTTCCTAAAAGTTACGTCCAAAAACGACATGCGCCGAGGAAGGGGGAGGAGTTAATATAATAGCAGTGCATAAGCTATTTGCGGAACATCCGCACGCTCGCAGGAAATTCATCTCATGGTTATGAACGTTAGACACGAACGAGAGCAATACAAACCGTTCCGTTGAACGAGCACCCGCGGTTGTCTGTTCCGCATAGTTGAGCTCTTCTTTTTGTCACGCGGTTGCCATTGCGTGTTGTAGGTTCGATCAGGTTTAAATAATTACATCGTCTACGTGTCTGCTCTCATGGGCTAGGGCGAACTTATAAATCAGCGAGAGTTAAGAACGGAAGCCATTCGTAAATCATCGTTCTGCGCTCTTTTTTCTTGCACGGCACAGAAACCAATTTACCCGCGAGACGAGCGCAACAAATATTAAATAAGCGTAAAGCCGCTGAGTCACGCTGTTCGTATACACATCGCGGTGTTCGCTGGAGCCACGGTGACAGAATCGCCTGCGGACAACCGTAAAGAAAGTTCAAAGCATCCTTAGACTTACAACTAGGTGGCGCAAGCTACCGCTTGTTACAAAGGGTATAGCCATCAACATCCACGCTTCGAGCATGTCTGCGGACAGGGTTTATATGACCAGCGTGACAGGACAATGAAGAAGCACGTGTCAAACAGTATCTGCAGACTGTATTCTTTTCATATGAATTAAGATAGAGAGAGAGAGAACACGAGACAACTCATAGGTGTGGGCAACCCACAGGGTGAAGGACGGCACCGAGCGGCGGAAGCTCGAACTACGGTTGGCGCCCAGGAGCGGACTTGCGCTACCTCTCTTACGTCGATCGCACTTCAAGCTTTCGCCGCCGCTCTGGACGGCCTACACCTGTACAACCCCCCCCCCCCCCCAAACCAAAAAAAAATATTTTTTTTTATTTAGCGGAGGTCACGCGAGAAAGGAGTTTTTCTCTTATCAAAATCTTCTAGGATAGTTGAAGGTCGCCGTCTGGTGATTTTTTTTTTTTTTTTGCTGCCGAAAGGGAAGTCGATTCAACATCTATCTCTGCAACGGTCATGTGGCATGCCATGCCAAGCTTCTAAAAATTTGCTTATTTCATGGTGTGACGAGCACTTGTACCACCGGTCACCCGCGATTGAAGCGAACATTCCAAATTTTGCTTAGCGCGGCAACATGGGCCATAAAAAGAATGGGTTCGAAAAACTTGTATACTTGTTATGTATGTGACAGGAGCGGATATGAGGAGGGGGGGGGGGGGACCGCTTCCAAAAGCTGCCTCTTTATATATATAGAAAGAACGACACGCACCAACTTTTGGGCGACGAAAAACTCTAGTTTTTCGTGGAATGGCAATTACTGGGTCAACAAATAGATCTGGGCAAACCCAGAACGTGACATTCCTTCGTGACGTCTCACCTCTTTGCAGATCCCTTCTCTTTCCCAGCCAAATGCACCCTCACCCTCTCCCAGGCCTGCCCTATAAATCCGCTCCTGGTTTGTGACTAGCGACGGCAAGCCGTGCACCCTTCAGATGTTACTTCACCTTTGAAATAAGCCAACAGTCTCACGCCAGTAGGTCCGGGCTGTAAGGTGAACGAGGCAACTGCGGCTCCTCCAGCGCGTCGTTGGTCTCGTTAGCAGTCGCCCTCAACCATCTACGACGGCAAGCGCAGGGTAGTGCACCGGAAGAGGAAGTGCATCGCCGCCGGTGGAGACTACATTGAAAAAGTTATCTGCTCCTGGGAAAGAGCAGATTTGGAACTCTTATTTGAATGTATCATATTTCAATTCCATCGCTGAATCAAACAGTTACAGCCTTCGAGGCGAAAGTTATTGATCAGCCCTCGTACATGTTTACCGCCTGTCGACTCTCGTGAAACGTCCCAAGATGCCTGAGCTGTTCTCTCGCTTGCCTCGCAGGAGGCCGGCAGCCACCGGCGCCACGGCCACGGGCTGGGCTGCCCCAAGTGCAAGCCCGGGTTCGCCGTGCTGCGCCCCTGCGGCCACGGTCTGGACACCCAGTGCATCCCCTGCCGGCCGGGCCAGTTCCTGCCGCACCACTCGCACCGGCGCCACTGCTTTCCCTGCTCCCTGTGCGGGGAGGAACTGTTCACGGCCCACCCGTGCACGTCCACCGCGGACACAGTCTGCGATTCCTGCCACACACAGGTTGGTCGACGTCGACCCGCTCGAAACGATATGTTGCGCACGCGCACTGACCACAAGTACGCGAGTGGTCCGTGACATGCAGTGTGTCTCATTCAGCTTATGTTCGACTGAGAGGCACGATCGTTTCGAGGGGAACTATACTCTGTTTCACTCTATGATGTACCGCAGGAAGTGCAACAAGCGCAAGGTCCTTGCTCTGTGGCACACCTCGGCGGCACACCTCGGCGGCACACGCTCTCGTGCACCAAGGGCAGCTGCCAACGCTACGAGCTCACGGTTCTAGCCTTTGCTGCGGTAGAACATAAGGTGAAACGGAGTATAAATATGGTTACGAGCAGCGGCTGGCATTCCGCTCGAAGTATAACCGTGCGTCGATTCGATGATTGATCTGAAGGTCTAAGCTGGGATACTAGTTGTCAATAAGAGGCTGAAAAGTGGATCTATGGTATCTTAACATTCGGTCTGAGTGTGTGAAAATTTCCACGGCGTACGATGCACAGATGTCGCCTCATGTATTCGAATTCAACGAATTTACTAAACGGAACTGTAGATGAAGATTCATGGATGCTCGCTCCAGCGACGTATACGAGCAAGCTTTCCCTGACTGACAAGCTGCCTTTTGTAGTTTTTTGGGAAATATATATCTTTTATTTCAGACTCAGCGTATGAGTAATTTTAAAGTCTTGCCCAAGCGTTACAGGTCTTATAACAAGCCATCACAAGACAACAGTCTAGGAGGAACTCACGACAAAGACCTGTGTGGTGATTAACTTCTGCCCAAAAGAATCCGACGCTTGTAGCGAACAAATGCGTTGCATCAAAGCGGTTGCTTTAGTACTATTTGGTACTCAGAAGACAGAATAACTTAGAATATGCCACATTTTCCAGCCATTCCACTAGACGTCCGTGTCGTTAGGTTTCGTTTGTTGTCGGGCACAAACCCGCAAACTCGAGGAACGTCACGGCGCTGTAACTAGAAGCACGCGAGTAAGTTTCAGCACGTTGTTCCGGCAGGTTCTTGGTCCTCACGCGGAGGACTTCTACGTCAAGTGCAACGGGTCGTCTACGGCAGAAGACGAAGATTACGACGATGAGGACGACTCCCCGTCAGACGACGCCCAAGATCTGTGGCAGAGTCGGGAGTCCCCGGCCGAACTCATGCTGGTCCGAGAAGAGCTCAGCCATATGCGACACGAGGGTGAGTCCCTCGCGCTAACCTCAATTACTGTGAGCTTCAAGTACGGACGCGCGCGTTACTAAAGGACGAAAGATAGACTTGTCCAGCGCACAATGTTTGCGGGCTACGCTGGACAAGATACTGGTGTCTTACAGGGTATCTTTGAAGCGCACGCTTATCTTGTCTTGTGTTTTACACGGATCACGCGGGGCACTCTATAGTCAGCGACTCAGATATATCACCATCCTCATCGTCGTCTTTCGTTTATTTTGCGTGCTCATAAACAGCGGCGCGGCGTGCACAGAGGCCAAGTTTCCCCACGCTGACATCTAACAGCAAAATGGCGGATTGACGTCACGTGAAAACATACTGTAGTTTCACGCGCGTAACAAGAGCGAGCTCCACACCTTGAGCGCGCCTGTCGAGCACAGACGAACTCGTGCAGTGCATGAGTATAGTTCAGGGCAGCATGTCCGCGCTTGTAGGTTCGGCTTCGCTCAGATCTATATGACCAAACAGATATATGGTATATTCGGCTGGTCACTTTCGAGCACTCCAATCCTCCGAGTCGTAGCTACCAGATCCTGGAGCGCCTCCGCATCGGAGCGAGAGAATCGGCGCGCCAAGCCGAACGCTCTTCAACTTTTCAGAGCGGCAAGCCGAGCGGATAGAGGGTGGCGTGCGCCACTACAGGATAGGGTGCCTACATGTCTGTCTGTCTCAGGGTGAAGACATCCATTATTGCCCTGAATGTGCCAGCGCGTGACGCTCTCGTGCATTCGGTGCGTGACTTGGGCGGTAATATGGCGTCTATGCATTAGCCAAAGCTACGGGCTCGAGCTGAGTGACACCGGGTTGCGCGCACTTCAAGATGCATAAAAAAAACATTGGGCGGAAAAATGGCTGAGATGTCACCACTCAAGCAAAAGCGCGCGTGTGTATGAAGGCACTCTACTACAGGACAGCGCGAGCCGCCCTCTAGCGGAACTTTTGCTCTTTGGATTCAAAGGGTTGAGCAGTATTCAGTGATCCATCCATCCGTAAATCCTTGAAAAATGGCAACCGTCAACGCGGACGCTGATAAGGTCATCGCAAGTCAGCCGTGCCAAGCGGAAGTTCCTGCGAAACTATCAAAAAAAGACAACATTACACCTTGAAAACTCTCGTACTTTTGTACTTACCGCTTTGTCCGAGTAGGTTCGCACTATAAAAACATAGGCCTTGACCTTGGGCACCGTACAAGACAATTTTGGTACAAGACAACGTTAGGTACAAGACAACGTTAGGTACAAGGTGCGTCAAACAACTCGGCAAACTTCGCTTCGCAAACACGGTCCTCGTCGTCATAGTCCGAGCTGCTGGTGTTGTCGCTGTCTGCTAGCTTCGCCAGCAGCACTGGCGGTGCCACCACTAACATTAAACGTCTTCGTTTCAACGCCATTTCACCTCAATTCGGGGAGAACAACGCAACGGTGTCGGCGTCGAGACTGACGGCTGTTTCTCGCAGCCCTCTTTTTGCGGAGTAGCTGCGTTCTCGCCGTCCGCTTCCGACACAAAAGCAAAATGGCGGAATGGCTGGAGTCACTTGACCGGTCGACCGGTCGGCAGCCAGATCTCTCGCGCGCTCCCACTGTCAGAGCGCCTCAAACCGCTCCGATTCGGAGGCCGGCGAGAGTCGGAGCTTCGGGAGCGCTCCGAAAGAACCAGTTGAATATACTTGGAGCGCCTGCCATCGACCAGCCGAATGCACACCGGCTTTTCAGAGCGCTCCAAGAGGCCGAAAAACGACCAGCCGAATATACCAATAGTCTCTTGTATATGTGCAGTGCCCACAAGTTTTACGTGACCACACACATTTATTAACAATGAGTTGATCGATGAGTTGATGCATTTGTCTTGAAACGTACGCGCTTATCGGTTTTACGAGACCGGCTGTGGTGTCACGTGACTCTTAGTGCCCTGTAAATTGTTTATAATGAGTAGCGAGCATGCTTTTCTGCTGAGCACGCAGGACATTAGTGACGACACTTCACGCAACGTGCATTGTGGTAAGTGTTGCCCATATTTTTTTTTCGGTTTGAAAATGTTTTCATTGCCGCGATGCTGATCATGCAATCAAGGCCGTAACTTCCGCAAATCAGTATTTTTGTTCAAGGGGGGGGGGGGGGGGGGGGGGAATCGGCGGCCGAGTGGGATAGGGCGCACCAGCTCGGAGCACGTGGAGCGCTGCAGAACTCAGGGATCCTAGGTTCAATCCCCACCCCTGCCCGTTTCGATCTGGATGAGCATCGTATACCGGCGTGCGGTCGTGTATCACTACTGCGTGGCGCACGTTAAAGACCCCAGGTTTGCGGTTGTACCGCAGTGGCTAAATTGCTCATCTACAACTGAGACGCCAGACGCCCACTAAGGCAGACTAACTTCCGGCTGTATAAACATACACACAACAATTTGCTTTGTTTGTTCAGGGGAGGGAGAATCGGCTGGAAGGTAAACCAGTAGTTCACTTAGCGCCGACAGGTGGTTAATCGTCATATTTACAAGAAATGTTTTGAATCTAATGTCCTTATTGTTTTTTTTTTTCTAAATTTATATTCCATAGTGACACAACGCCGTCAAGCTGGCACGACACAGACATACGGTACTAAAGCTTGAGGTGCTGCCAACCAACAAACATTTGCGCCATATTACGCCAACTAATTAGCGTCGTAATTATGAAATGAGTATCCTCTTTTAAAGCGTTTTCCTCGTAGAGCCTGACGGCTGCGCCTTAACCTCCCCGCATCTGTCTCGCGCTGCGACGAAAGGATCGAGAGGAGGCTTCACATCTATGCCAGTCCGCAAGGTGGTAGTTGTGCGCGTCAGCTGCCCCTTGCCTCTTCATCACATGCCACTCAGTGCCAGTTCTCCGAAGCGGTCCGCAAGGAAAATACGCATCTGGATCCTACACGGATGAAGGTCAACCGTTCCGGCGCTCGGGAGGGGCCCGTGGACGCCCATGCACTTGCATCCATCCCCCTGTTCTTTCTTTCCCACGGTTCACTAGACACGCCGGGAACCGTCTACGGTCCGCGTCTAGAACAAAATACGCGGATAAAAGCAAGAACTTTCTTTCAGCGTAACTCGGCAAAGAGGAAAACGCTACGCCCCCTCAACCAATTAGAGAGAGACGCACGTTACGGCTGTCCACAAGAGGAGTGTGCATTCTGACGCTGTATACGTCGTCACGTGCTTCGTTTCTGCTCTCTGATTGGCTCTCTGGGGGTCGTAACTTTCGCAGTTTTCGGGTTACGCCGTCTGCTGCGACCGAGTAGAATAGACTCCTGCCACAGGTGCGCGTGGTCATTACTGTTACCGGAGGGGATGCGTTTACGCTGCCGACTGGTTCTGGGAGACGTTTGATTTATTTTTAATCTTCTTCTTGTTGCATCTGGTTGTCATTTCTTAGCTCGAAGTTTACTCCTTAATTTGTGTACATATACAAAATTTCCGTCTTTCGACCTAGCTTGTTTACAGGGATGCACGTAATAATGAAGCCAGCGTGAAAGAACGCCATTTGTTTTACTGTAATAAGAAATCTGCGCTTACGCTCGTAAAATAAACGAATTATGACGAAGCATGAAGTTGCTGGTTACACCTGCAGAGATGATGACAGGATTGTCTGCGCTACGAAGCAGACGTGGCTCGAAGCATGTTTCCGTCGTACACGTCTGCGAACAGCATTTTGTGTGACACGGTGTCTGTCTTTTGTATTACGTATTAGCGGCCTGACGGCGGCTTTACAAGAAAACGTGTGATGACGAAAATGAGACGAGATTCTCTCCGCAGTGTAGTTGCACACAAAACACAAGAAATGCGGTGATAATAACGAACACCTCGAGAAGTCGGCCGCATTTCCAAGCGACGATGTGCAGGCCAGTTGGTTCTCGGTAGAACTGGAAACAGCGTGCGCAAATTACAAGTTCGAGAAATGTGCGTATAGACCGGACAAGCGCTGGACATTTAACCGATTATCGAATAAAACGGTAAACGCCGAAGTAACCATCCACACCACTATCGCGTCGACTCGTGCTTGAAAAATGCTGCCTCGTTGTAATGTTTACATAAGAATGACGCCTAGCCGCTTCGAAGCACGTGTCGACGCGATATCGATGTGGATGGTTAGTTCGATGCGCTTCCTTTTATTAGATAATAAGTTGAAGTCCAGAGCTTTTATTCCCGTCTACGCCTCCCTCGTCTTTGTTATTTGTGCTCTGCTTCCAGTTGTATGGTATTTCCACTTTAACTATTACACACGTGGATCCATGGAAGGTTTTTAAATATAGGCCTTGTGCCCGATCTCAGCTGCTTTTGTTTACATTCCGCGGGTATTTTATGGCCTCCTTTTGCCTCGGAGTCCCCAACGCCCTAATATCCATAGACGGGAAGTCATTTGTCACCTGCCTCGCCCGACAGGCTTCCGGTTTCGCAAAGCGGAAGTTTCTTTTGCCAGGTTTCGTAATCTCCAAACAACAAACAGGTGAGACGACCTAAGACATGCCCGAGAGCCTGCTTCCCCTCAGAGCATGAGGCGTGCCAACCGCTGCGACCAAAATAGGAAACTCGACAAATGTGCCGACAAGAAAATACGTTGCGAACATTTTTTTTATTTATTTATTTCGTTACCTTTTAGGCTCAGAGGGCGTTACAGAAAGGAGTGGAAAATATACAAAAAAATACATGAAATTGTCAAAAATACAACAAAGAAACAACAAATGTAAATCACAACTGAAGACAAAAAAAAAAAAAACTTTAATGTCGAGTTTGAGAACTGATGCGTCGGTGATTGTGACGGTTGAGGTGGGCACGTGGTTCCCCACTCATCGCTGGTAGAGCGAGAACTGCTGACAGAAGAATTAAGAACGGCATGGCGTGTCTTTCGGATGCTCGGCTTCCAGCGCGAGCTCATTGCCTTCCTGCGTGCTTTTGGCTGCACGCGCGCACGCTCGAAGCTTACAAGACGCAAATGCATTATCGAGGGT